CTGGACTTTTGATCTTCAGTGTGGGACGGAGGTGTTTTCCACTATCCAAGCCACTGTTTGTTCTCACAGCTGCCGAGCAGGAGGAGGTACAGGAGCAAAGTTCAGAACCAGACGGTTCTGAGACAGTTTCTTCCCCCAGGCCATCAGTCTGCTGAACAGCCAGTAGTGCTGGTCTATCGGTCAGTGGGGCTGTCACCACACCACCGCATACACACCTCAAACAGACTCACTCTGATCTTACTGTAACTTGAACCTATCTGTGCACATATAGATTGACATCTTGTACATCTTCTGTCCATATCTTGTATAATCTATCCCCTGTGTACCCTGCATCTTATTTATTTACCTCAGACTCACTAACTGGAAATGTGTACAACTGCACATATCACAGCTTTTATTTCATAATCTATATTACTGTTACAAAAACTGTATATATGTGTATATATTTTTTATATATTTTGGTATTTAAGTACTACAAGGTGTACTTTATTATTGGGGAAAAAAGTTTAATTTGATCAAATACGACACCAAATACTGCAAATACTCAAGATTCATTACTGCAGAAACTCACAGAGAATTCCTCACAGAAAAGCCCTGAACCACATTCTTTACCAGCGCGGAGAAAACCATAAATAAAGTGGTAAATATAACAGCACACCATGCATCTGCTAAGATGTGGCCGACTGAACACAGAGCTAAAGGGGGAGAAACTATAGAAAGAGCTTCCACAATTACAGTTTAGGAAAGTGTAAAATGGGCCTCGTATCCCATTTACTATCAGCCTTTGGCAGCAGACTGGAATTATGGGTATTGGAAAGAAATCATTTGGAACGTAGAGCCCTTTTAAGCCACTGTGTGCTGTTCCTTCCAAATACTGAATATTATGGGACTCTTAGACATAGCAGAGAGGGAGAAGGTCACTTAACACAAGCAGTTCATCATAAACGACAATACCATTCGCATAAAAACCTGAATCCAGTGCCTCGGCCAACGGTTTTAAATCAAGAGGACGATTATGATCCGACCATAAAGAAAGCTTTTAATCAGCACAGGACCCCAAACGATCAATCCCAGGCCGCTCGATGCCCACTTTAACACAGAGCGCATCCCCGTCAGCCTTTCACGCAAATATCAATATGTGGAGCTGACTGGGGGAGCTTTTCCACATGAGCGACTCCATTGTCGAAGCGAGACAGCGAGGAAGAGAGGAGCTATTCTTCCTCTTACAGACGGGCGCTTACAGCATTACAGTAGCGGCGGTTAGGGATCCCCCAAAACGGAGCAGTTCACGAGGATAAAATGTCCTCCCCTCCCGAGTTCTGCCTATTGTTATGCTAGACAGAGCGTCTTCTCAATCTCTTCACATACGGGGGGGGTGTACAAGGTCAAAGGGACGAGTGGTTATTTGAATGTAAAGATGGTTAAACTTATCTTAGAGCTTGTTTACTTAACAGCTATTCAAATAAGGTATGTATAGTCTAGAATAAAGAAGTATATTGTTTAATATCTTGTCATTTTAAAATTTGTTTTGTGTTCCTAGAACTGCAGAGAACGTCGGGACACGAGTAGATAATGTTGTGTCTCACCTTAAGCAAAATGAGCTGAACTATATATGAAAATATTTCAGTTTTTCAAAAACATATGCATAATTCAAGCACTGAAATTTAAACAGGAATTCAGAGTGAACTGTAGAGAAATGATTCTTTACAGTGGTGGTGATAGGAACCGGGGTCACAACGTCGCCAACACAAATATTATTTGCTACCCAAAACAATGTCAACTTACACATTCTCTAAGCTTTATATGTAATGTTGCTAATGGTATAAAAGTGCTAAATTAGAAAACTGTGTTTTTTGGGGGGAATATATTTCCTTACACTGTTGGAAATAAATGTTCTGTGCAGGTACATTTTTTTGTTCATCAAGGTACAAACAATGTAAATGTTCCCTCAAAAGGTACAACAGTGGTTTTAAGGTCTAGTTGTGTACCTTAAATAAGCTTTTCTAACATATTTGTACCTTTTCATAATCTAATGTTTTAAAACAGAGAAACTGAATAAAAGGCCTGGAGACGAAACGGGGTGTGTGGAGTCAATACAGCTTAGAAAATATCATTTCAGTGGATTATGGTACAGTTATGTTCCCTGACTAAAGGTACTGAGATGTACCCTTGAGGGTCCCACCCCAGTGACAAGAGGGGTCCTGCCCCAGTGACAGTTTACTACTTTTTTTTTCTGAGAGTATGTACTTTTCCACCATAAATGGATTTTAAAAAATATGATTTAGGCTGTGAAACAATGTCTCAGGCACCAGGCAGTGTATTCATAACTAGAGCATGTAATAGCGTTCTGTGAGAGAGCTTTTAAAGACAGTAAATTCAGTTGTCTGGTTTTTAATCACCACCACTGTGAATAATTCTGACTCTGAAGTTTCTCTAGAGTGGAGCATTTCACATCAAACAACTTTGAATGACTTTATATACATCTTAACCATTTGTTTATGCAGAACATTTGGTGGAATTAAATCACAAAAATAACACACTATATCAAAACAATCACCTCTTATCCCAGCATCGCGCAATAATGTTAAACCTTCCATTTTTTGTTTGCTGTTCATGATAGCACATATTACATCACTGGGATATTTCAGTACTATTTGTTTAAAAATGCAGATATCATAATAGTAAACATGGTTACAATGCTAGGTCACGACATCTAATAGTCAAGTCGTGTGACCTTTGGTGTAAATCCGGGCTAAATGAGTGCTGCTCTCTTTATGGCCTGTGCCTGCCTATGCAGCTCCAATGCCGGGGCAAACACTAGCAGGTTTAGCACTCAAGCTCATTGACAATAATCTCTAAATATTGTCCCTGCTGAAGGCCTGTGCTCCAGTGGAGGCTGAGCTGGGCTTTCTTTAGGAGCCCTCGCTCTCGCTCTGTCATTCAGCGAAAGAGCTTGGAGGACAAATTTCTCTCTTAGAATTGTAAAAAAAACACACTCGCCCTTTCAGAAACCTATACAATGAGAGCAATTTCAGCTCATCTCTGCATTCCGCCAGTGCTACAAATGAGCATCGAAAACGGTTTTGAAGAGAAATAGTAAGCATGACAGACAGAAAGAGAACGAGAAAAAGAGAAAGAGGAAAAAGAGAAAGAGAGCGAAAGGAATAGGGCGTCATTCTTTCTGCAGCTGTACTGTGTTAAGTGTCTATCTCAGCTGTGGAGGAACTTCTCCGTAACCTTCCCCTCTTCCCCCGGCTCTACAATAGAGAGCATGTAAAGAGGCTGCTGCCATGCCAGCCTCTGGATGGAGATGCGTCTTATTAAGACCACCAGCTGGGGCTTCCATTCACACACATCAGCCAGTGGTTCATATTCCGTCTTCCTGCAGCGCAGATGTTAAAACAACATATCTGAGATTCCGGTTCTGGTTCTTAAAACAAAGCGCAGCAGTTTGGCAGGGGGTGGGGAGGGGGTTGGACCGAGCACTGCTCTGCCTGACAAACGTCTCTTTATTCTTCCACAAGAAGTCTTCATCGGCGCAGAACAAATGTTTTCACACGCGTTACGAATGGCTTCGGTATAAATTAAAAGCAAATGGCGAGACAGTAAATCAACCAAGACAGCAACATCCAACACAACAGAGTCGTGCTTGCAAAATGTCAGGGTCTGCAGAAGCCTCACAGCTTAAAACCACCACAGTTTACACTTAGCACTGTCTTCCTGCTCAGGGCTGGGCGATATGGCCAAAAATGTTATCACGATAAAAATTTCATATCAGTCGATACTGTTACGACTCCTGGTCGTAATACACCTTCTGTGTACCTTGTACTGGCATTCTGTGTGTCTTCCCTGTTGTGTCCCCTTACGTGCAGGGACAAGATTGGCCACATGGGGGGCGCACTGATGTATAAGAGGTCGCCAAGCCACCATCTTGGGAGATGTTCAGGGCTCTTTCCCCTTTGACATGACCTGAAAGAACACCTGTCTAGACCTTTGCTTCGCTTGTAAAGTCAATGAAAGTTTTTTAGACTCTTTCTGTGAGCAATGGAAAAGTAGGGGACGCGTGCCATTTTGTTTTGGTTACCATTTCTCCTGGTTTTTGGTGACCGTTTCTCCTGGTTTTTGTCATCATTAGCAGTTTTGTTTGTTATTTTGGGATTTGCTCTTCCCTGAAGCAATCACTTCCATTCAGTTTAACCACTTTCAAACTTGCATACTTTTACCAAAGTTTAAATAAACCTGCAGTTTGCTGATTTAGATGGTGTCTGGTGTCTGGTGTCTGGTCTGGCAGCTGGTCACTCTCATTCTCTGTTACGGCCTGACCCTAGACCGGGTCATAAAAGTACGGATAATTATCACGATAAATGTGAAATAGTTATTTCTTTCAGGTTTAAAGGATGATTTCTGCTCCTGAGTGGTTAGAAGTGAGTTTGCTGTAGGCCAGTACAGTTACGTCACTTATCTCGTCACTCACACTTGGTCGACAGGAGACCAGATCACCGATCGCTCCACTCAAACAGGGAATGTCTAACCCCACGTTTCACACATTGCCAAAGTATATCTGGCAACTCATCTTACTCAGCGCCCCCTCCCTCTCTAATCATGTCCAGAAACTCTGAAGTGCGCCCTCTCGTGGCGACAGCTGAGTAGCGTCGCTTTCCTTGCAGTACAAAACGCCACCAGGGCTTTAAAATGCAGAAGTGAGAAAATGTTTTAAAACATTCTGTTATGAAAAGGTACAAATATGAACTTTTCACCTGGGAAATACTTATTTAAGGTTCACAACTGGACCTTAAAACCACTGATGTACCTTTGAGGGAACATTTACATTGTTAGTACCTTGATGAAAAATGTACCCGCACAGAACCTCTGTTTCTAACAGTCTACTGGTTAATACTGCTGGACACATCTTAAATAACAGTAAACACTGCGCACTATGCAACGTGATACGTTAATGAAATCTGGACGCTGCTGGCGACCCAGAAAGAAGCAGATGTTACCTGTTTATCGCTCAGCAGGTAGATGTACTGATAATCGGGACTGAACACCATGTCGCGCAGAATCGGGTTCCCCTCTGCAACTGTGACCGTCTCGTACAGCAGGGCACTCTGGGAAGGCGGAGGAATGCCGTCCACTCGGATCTGAGAAGAAAAGAAAGAGAAATTCGATTTAGGTGAGTGCTTTTAACCAATAAACATTTTTTTTGTTTTTAATGGTAGTAGAATTGAGGAATGGCTTTGGCTGAAAGAATTCTTCTCACTGCGTTCCTGACAGATGTGGCATTCTGCGGCAGTCTAATTTGCTCATTCGTCTCGCAAGTTCTGAGTGCTTTTAGCTGACCCAGAAAAGGAGTTTTGGATGTGCTTGCACGGCAAGACAGCAGAAATTCAGTTCAAGATTCCATGGAAAAATTAAAATAAATGCATTTTAATGACACAATAATATCCATACTTACACGTAGACGCACAAACACTCGCGTGCAAGCGTCCGTGTACACACTTAGACACACTCGCAAACCCCCACTGCTTCATCATTAGCGGCTCCTTTGTTTCCTTGTACTGATAATTAGAGTAGTGAGCATGCTCGGGAAAAAGGAGTTCTAAAAATGTCAAATCCAAAACATCTTTGAAGTGATGGAGTAGAAAAGAGAGAGGGAGTAAGTGAGAGAGAGAGAGTGGAATGGATTCAGCAGAGCACTTCTGACAACCGCAGCCAGCTCACCTATTTTCCCTCCCCTAGCAAACAGACAAAAAGGCAGCAGCCTGTGCCTCTGTCCTCATCAATAGTGATGGAAGAGTGACAAGAGGCAGCAATGAGAGAAAGTAAACCACATTAATGCTGAAATGGAGACAAAGACAGAAATGCAGAAAAGACAGGAAGAAAAGAAGCAGAGTGGAGGAAAGCAGACCAGATGCAACCAGCTTGGGCCTTCTCCTAAATATCTGGGTCGGCCCGAAGTGACAAACATCGTTAGTCCGTTAATTAGCTGCCTCCTCGTAGCCGCACTCGCAGTAATTAGTGTTGACAAGGTGGCATCAATTAGTCGAAGGCTGCCATATTGGGTGTCACAAGTCGCCGGCCAAGCCGGAGCACATGAGTCAACCAGCAGCGGGACAGAAGGTTCCGGAATCTGACGGACTGCAGCCGCAGTTTGTCAATGCATGCAGCACCAGCTGTAGTGTCGCGCTTGGCAGCCGTCGGCCAAAGAGGTGTAAAGATGCGTCGATGCTATGTGATTCACTGTGGCGAATCAAATGCATCGATTCTGGAAAGTTGTGATAAGTATGAGCTCATTTGAAAAAACGATTTGCGTAGTTAGATGTGATTAATCACATTTGTCTAATTTGCTCAAATCTTCACTCTAAGATTTGGACATAAAGTTATGGACATAAAGTGTGGACAAAGTTATTTATCACTTCCAATAATTCAATAACCTTATCTATGTCATGAGAACCCTGTGTTCATAAACTCAAACATGAAAAACACTTAATTTCCATAGCACAAACACCGCTTTCAACAGCAGCTGTATGTTTCGACCAATGAGTGAATATCACATTCATCAAACATACACGGTCAGAAAAAGGGCACTGTTCAGAAAAAAATATTTTTCCCCCGGTTGTATGCACAACCGACATTACAAAACATTCTTTCAGACTTTGCTACCATTTCCACCAGAGAGGTCTCCATATCCCCAAATCTTACACAGTGCAGCTTTCAATAAGTTTTAAATGTTAACTATTTTTACTTTCCCATGGTAAAGGTGCACATTGTTACATTTACATATTTTTTTTAGGTAGAAAAATAAAATAAAACAATGAAAGGGTGTATGGAGTCAAGTTAAAATATCTAACTTCAATGGAATATGGTGGAGTTATGTATGCTAACCGATAGTCTTAAGGGCAGCACCCCAATGACAACATCTGTACCGTGAAAAGTAGAGTTTTTCTACAATTTTAGCCTCTCACTCTCGTTCTAATTCACAGAGCTTGTGGATTCTAGTGTGGAGGCTCCCAAAGTGAACTGGAGCACTTCCACTTTGTTAGTTTGCTGCTCGTTTATCTATTAGTGTCCCATAAGCGTGTAGTCTGCCAAAGGTCCTGAAGATAACACTTTAAAAGTCTTTTAAAGGCTTATTTGTACAAAAAGAATTAAAAGAGGAATTTATGAATCATGGTAACATGGACTGCCTGAGCAGCTGGACTTCAGTCTCCACTACTATGGATTGTTTGAAGACTCAAACTAGGAAAAGTGTTGTTACAAAAATTCCACTAATAATATATTGCGGTGTTAACTAAAACTGAATTCTTTTTATTCTCTATATTCCACTACTGAACAAAGTAGTTCTTGCAGTCATATTTGTATATTCAAAATATTTTTATATATATCTGCATCATACCAACATAACTACATCAAACTTAATTGTGGTAAAATGTGAGATTCCAAGATGTTTTCTAAAGAAATATAAATTAACTGAATCATTGTGAGTTTATACATTTCAACACTAGTAATCTGCATAGCTCTAGTGCAGTGTCTTATTACATTACATTATCTCCAACCACCACCATCTGCATATTTCCCGCCATTCTGCATCATGATGAGATTGAACAGTTTGGCAATCGGCTCCCGCAGCTGCACACCTGTGGAGTGGTAATTAATACACTGTATATAGCATCGCTTTTTATAGAACGCGAATTTGGTAATTAATATACTTTACAGTGTTGCTTTTCATGAAGGTTACAGTTGAACAACACAATGGCTTATCACATCAATTTATCTCCAGAAGCCACTACCTGCATTCTCCCTGTCATCCCGTGGCATGATGGGATTGAACGGTTCAGTAAGTGGATCCTGTGGTTGCACACCTGTGGCGGGGTAATTAATATACTGTATACAGTGCTGCTTTTCATGGAGGTAACAGTTGCACAGGCCTCATAAAGGCCTATTTAGCAACAGAGGGCATGTCAAAGGCATCATTTTGCGGAAAGTTACGCCCCTGCGTCAGCTTTCATAGGCCTTCTGAGAAAGGGGGTGACGGAGTGTTTAAGACCATTCCTAAGAAGCAAACGTCCTCCTTGGGTCATCCAGCATGACCCGCACAGCTCTTTGCTCATTAAGATCTTCCATTTATGGGGAAAAAAAACACACGGGACGGAGCGTCTCCACGGGTACTTACGCCAGCGCCTGACACCAAGTGCCCTGCATTCAGGGCAAGTCAAAACACAGAGGAGTCCCACTCCAGCATTGGCCAGTTAAACAAAATAGTCTGCCATCCCGACAGAAGCCAGAGACTGCTCTACCCACAATAAAACCGCCAGCCTTCCCTTGGCCTTTCTACTGTTTATAGAAACAGGGTCAACTTTCCTGGGCTCAGCTCGCACACAGAGTACACAGGTGTCGAAGAAACAACGGGTCACGCATCGGCTAGACGCTGCTCATACACAGGACTGCTAAAACCGGATCAGTGCTTTACAATCTGTGAAAAAACTGACTGGTGACATCAAGTATGTCTATGTTCTCAGAATGTCTTTAGACTAAAGAAAGACCAAGAAAACTTTACAGCTTTCATCATGGACTTCACAAGCTTTTTGTACTGTTATTTTATCCTCAGCAACACTCACTCAAATGCCAAACATAGTGTATTCCATGAGGAAGAGGTGTATTTTCATCAGTGAGACTTTCACTGTCAACAATCAATCAATAAGTAATCAATATAGCCGCATCATCAGATTCACCCATTTCCACCCAGAGACTCAGTCTGACTTTTTATATACTTGTATTGCATTAACCTGCTTATCTGAGCCATTTTTCCTCTCACTGCATGTGTGTTTCAACCCTTTCTCTTAACCACATTTATAATTGATGTCTAATCTCCATATTACTGTTGCCCGTGTTTCACTCTCTTGTTCTCTGTTATGAGCTGTGGATATTCTGGTCTTCTTCATCAAACTGCCCAGTGCATGCATCCTGTTCAGACCAGTTCAATCCAGAGACAATGGATGGATGGTAGTGGGCTCTGGACTCTGTTCTACACGTTTGACAGCTGGCTCTCAAGCCAGAGGTCTGGCTATCATAAAGTTGTCTGGTAGATTTTGCTGCTTAATGTGGTCAGAAACTGCCAACGTTAACAGGAAGGGGCTGTTTGACTGTGTTTCTGTGGAAAGCTACATGGTCTAAGACTTTTTGTTAACCTTCAGCCAAAACTGTTCTTTTTCTTCGTTATCTGCTCAAACAAGTCGTTAACTCACTCTTGTTAACTCTAGCTTGGATGTAACTTCGGACAATGGAAATATTAGTCAATGATATATTATTGTCTATATTACTGATAATGTTGAATAACTGTTTCATCCCTACTTTTGACTACCTAGTAATTACGTTTATAAACAAAAGTCTATTTCAAGGCAGATAAAAAAATGCTCAGAACTATGTGCACATGAAAATGCAGCTAGCCAATCAGAATGTGAAGGTGGTTTTACATGATGAAACTTTCATGCAACTTTATTTGCTTGAAACCTACATAAAACTAAATTGCATTTGATTTGCTTAATGTAAAGTATCCTACACCTCATTTGAAACTCAGCCGCAAAAGTTGCGTCTCAACTTTGTGTTTTATGGAACAGTAATAAAAACAACGAAAATGCATCACATTGCATCTCAAAGCTAGCGTTTCTGTAACTAGCTGTGTTAACTAGCCAGCTAACGCTAACAGCTGTCTAAATGAACCCTTGTTCCACCATTTATTCTTCTTTAGCATGCTCTTAACATGATCTGCATAGTCAGATTCATTTTCTCCTCTCTTGACGCCCCCTAATTCACACAGAGCTCAGATTCATCTGGGAACAAAAGGATAAAAAAAATCACTGTAAAAGAGGAGATCAAGATGTGCTCCTCATTGAACTCGCAGCGCTTCTAGGACAGAATGAGTGAAGCTATAGCTGTAGTGGTTATATAAACATTCATTTTTAAAGGCTTAACATGCACACAACAGATAAACATTTAAAATATGTAGTAAAGAACAGTGGACGGTGATGAAGAACGTACGAAGACGACAGCAATGCTTCAAATATGAATATTATTTTGCAGATGATTTTATGGCAAAAATGATACTGTGTATAAAAAAATAAGGGCTGCTATTGGACAAACT